CTGAAACCATAAATTTGAATAATATATATTTTTTTTAAATTTAAAATATAATACATCACATTTTCATTTCTTGAGTGCATTTTAACTGCCGAGCAAAAGAAAATATACACTTATGTTTGATGGTGGCTAAAATAAAAAACAACAACAAGAAATGGCTATTGGATGGAGATGTATCAGGTATTCTTATCCAAGACGATACATGATACATCATATATGTATCTCACAACATGTGACGTGCACGTGACGATTTCATAGTAGACAGTAATGAGTAAAGCGGGTATTATCAAGTGTACACTTTCTTTTGCCCGGACGTGTATATGTGATGGTTTTACTTCGAAAACCTTTCCTATGGGAAATGTTGGTTCTTTTTAGAACAGTGAATCATCCATAAATCGCGACCCCGTCAATCCGAAAAGCCTACTTTCTGGGCGATGTTGCTCTGAACACCCTTAATCCAGGTACACTATTCCTTAATCCAGGTACACTATTCCTTTATCCAGGTACACTATTCCTTTATCCGGGTACACTATTCCTTAATCCAGGTACACTATTCCTTAATCCAGGTACACTATTCCTTAATCCAGGTACACTATTCCTTAATCCAGGTACACTATTCCTTAATCCTGGTACACCATTCCGTTGCATTGTTCCTTAAGCCAGAAAGTTGTTCATCTGGCAAATGTCTTTGAGAACAGTACCATCCGGATTAATGAGGGTTCACTGTAAACTGTACTGAAACTTGTACAAAAATCAACAATCGAGTAGATGTGAAAATACAAATGATTTCTATTGCCTGTTTCTTTTCCAATTTGGATAAAGAAGTATTCTGTCTACCATTTTTATTTGTTGCTACTGCAGTATATGTTAATATGAGTGTATGATATTTATATTTACACATCGAAGCAATCATTTGTTTCCTGAAATCCAGAAAGCGATTATCATATTAATCTCAGTACCCCACAAAGAGTGTCGCCACCACTACAATAGGCTAACATCTAGTCTCTGAAATGAACATATCGTACAGAAAACAAACCAAAACAGTTGTTAAATTATCTTTAAAAAAATAATAAAAAAGAACCCAGAGACTCTCTTCTGCAGAATGAGTGAGTGAGTGAGTTTGGTTTTACGCCGCTTTTAGCAATATTCCAGCAATATCACGGCGGGGGACACCAGAAATGGGCTTCACACATTGTACCCATGTCGGGAATCGAACCCGGGTCTTCGGCGTGACGAGCGAACGCTTTAACCACTAGGCTACCCGACCGCCCCTCTTCTGCAGAAATTTAGACTTGCCAAACATTATAGACTTGCATGGGCTGTATTTGATATATTTGTATCAGGGTCTGTAAGGGAGACTACCACTGCAACTGAATCCTTCACACACAGGCTTACCATTTCTCTACCGGCTTCTCGCTACTCGCTCACCCATTCAGCCACTACTCTTTCGCACACTCTTCAAACGAATCTATTTTAACTGATACATGTTCTGGGATTGCCACTATTTTTATTGTTCGGAAAATGTTCTGTCGAGCGATATACTGAGACCCCCTAGCGTCTGTGTACATAGATTAATGTTCTCTATATGTCTCTGTCATTTCCTGGTCTAAGGGCATCGTATACGCTCATGGTGGTCAGGCTCGCTGACTTGGTTGATGCATGTCATCGTATCCCAACTGCTAAGATCGATGCTCATAATATCAATCACTGGATTGTTTGGTCCAGACTCGATTTTTGCCTGCTGCTGTGATTAAGCTGGAATATTGCTGAGTACGGCGTTAAATAACTAACAAACAAACAAATATTAACAATACGACGCAGATTGTCGCAACATGTCTCTTTTTGTAATAAGATTTATAAATGTCCAAAAATAAGGATAATTTTGGTGGCCATCTTGGATTTGGCGGCCATATTGGAAAATGTCGGATGGCCCTAGAGCCATACATGTTCGTACCGGAATGACGAACCTATGTACCATGTGTCATGCTTTGAACTCAAAGTGCACTATTCAGTCAATAAGCCGCTCCACTATAACTTATCTTTCCTGACTGCTCCCTAATAAACTCCGGGGGAATACCAGACGACCGTGGTGGAAAAAGACACAGGTCGAACAAAGAAACCATATTAGTTTTTACTAAATCTCTTTAAACGTACGGGCGAAGGCTTCTGGTAAAAATAAACGCCTGTCACAACATTCTCCTTGTAATAGAAGACTGTCCAAACGAAACCGCCATTGACATCTTTCAAGTACACTAACAACATTAACATGACAATTATTTACACGCAAACTGAAATTGGAATGCGACGAGAATAGTTTGATTGTAATGTCAATTCTATGTATTTCCAACCACAAAGCAGAATTATTTTTGTTTTTTTATTAGACTCTTGATTGAGAACAGAGCTGTGAAACCATCAATGATAAACAAAAATGTGTTGGTCAACGCATATGTTATTCGTGCCAAATCTTATTTCGTTCTTATTTCCAGTAGAAATTTCGTTTGAACAACTGTTCAATCTCTAGAACCATTTAAGTAGAGCCACTGGAAGCCCTTGGTGGCGATTTCAATGAAAAAAACACTTTGGGGTGACCTTTAAAAACTGAAATCGATTTTCACTATAACTTAACCATTGCTAAACGTTTAACAAGATCACGATAACTGACTGGAACCGTTTTAAGGATTCCACTGTGTGCTTGCAATACATGTTCCTTCTAAGATCTGTAATTACCGACTAGACTGCCGTGTATTCTAATTAATAATCTGTGTAAGATAGATGATTACTACACCTTGAAATGAGTGCGAGAGGGAATATTATTTCACGCCGCAACAAAATCCCGCCTGTAAATACTCGCGCCAGTTAAAGCAATGATTAAAGTCACGAACGATCCACACCGTCGGGCAAGACGACACCAAACATCCCAGGTCACACATCGTAAAAACTGATCCTCATTGATCCACCAGGGACAGGGGGTACTCGAGACTAATTCTGTAACGGAATTCCAACGTTGTCCTTAATCTATTCCAATGCATCTAAACTGTCGGACAAAACATTAAACATTTGAAAGTTGGACTTTACACATAAAAATAAAAGTGAGTGAGTATGCCTTTACGCCGCTTTTAGCAATATTCCAGCAATTTCAAGGCGGGGGACACCAGAAATGAGCTTCACACATTGTACCCATGTTGGGAATCGAACCCGGGTCTTCGGAATGACGAGCGAACACTTTGACCTCTAGCCTACCCCACCGCCCCCGATACAATTACAAACGCTATCAATACGTTGCAAGGCTGAAAACAGCAAACTTAAGGTCCAAAACTCAACTATGATACCAATCGAAAATCAATTTCTTGATTGTTTTATTTTTAGCCACCATCAAGCATGTGAGTGTATTTTCATTTACCCAGTAGTTAACATGCATCTCACGACAAATACGCATCTGCCAGCCTGTGCCAATGCTTTGAAATTATTTCTGAATGCAAAAATCACGTTTCTTTGGCGGACGAGCTAATGGCAAGACCAGGTAATTCAAAGTACAGGCCGCGTGATCTATAGATGGCAGTACCTCCTAATGAAATAAAGTCTAACACGCGACTTCGCAAGATGTCTCACCACAAGCCTTCATTAACAGGTGCTTGACAAACATCTCGCGCGGTTCATGTCTCACGTGTCATGTCGCATGATTGTTGACATACATTTCGACGACAAAGTGTATGCCCTTAAGGTTGTACTATAAAATATATAAAAAATAAAAAGACCTTATTGCGAGGCATTAACACGGCGCCATAATCAATGCTGTTTGTTGGGGGAAAAAACACCTTTGTATTCCATTTACAGAATTTTTGTTGCCAGACACACTGAGCGAACAACTGTTGAAATCAAGTGCACCCATATGCTATTTGTTAAGCGGATCCTTCTGTGTCCGGGTGATGTTTGGAATCGGCCATCTTAACCCCGGTCTGTGAATCAAGCGCAGTTATGCAATGCTGGAATTCAAGGCCTATTAAAATACACTTCTTCTTCTTTTGTTGGATTTAATGCCGATTTTAACAGTCTTACAGTTATATCGCAGCGTGTCAGCTTAATGTGGGAGGAAAGCCCGAAGTGATGCAGGTCTCAGACGTTTACCACTTCAGTGAAACCCACGAGCACGGGTATGGTGCTGACAAACCTAGAAACATAATCGGGGCGAAGCGAGATTCGAACCCACAATCATAGGTTTCTGGCGCGCCTCGGGGACGCAACTCTGCACAGCGAATCGATACACTTTATATCTTCAAAATATATACTCCATGTATACAACCCATTTCACGTTAATTCAAAAGATTCAAAACAAACATATTCAAAACTTTGACTACTTTGACCATGTATTTCACGTACTCACATGGACTCACATGGACTACCCACAAATGCTTGACCGCGTGCAATAAGATCTTATCCCCTACAACCTTAATTTAAATTTAAAACTCTATGAACATTTAAATTCGTCGATCAAGGAAGGACGGTGCGTCAAGCAATTACTAGAATAAAGACATTCCCTTTTCTTAAAATGTTCCACTTGTTTGGCCGTCGTATGCCACGTGTTAAACATAATGAATCAAATGTCTTAACCACTGGCATATTTCGATGATAAGTAAGTCGATGGAATTAGATAATCTGTGATCATTTAATGAAATCATTGCTGACATGAGAGTAAAAGTTCTGGAAAACAAATTTGATGTCTCGAGCCTGAAGCAAAGCGCAATTAGTTTGAATAATTGACTCGTTACCATCAGATTCAAATTTCAACTCGTATTGCAGCTGGATCCTTCCAACGTGGACATTGACGTCAAACAATCTCGAGTTGCTCAACCTATGGAAGGCCGGCAGGGAAAAGACTAACCAGGAAACACTTGGACTGGCCTGGCTTAGTCTTAACAGTCGCCTGTCACAATGACTCATCACCCAAACTCAAAAACATGCTCTCAGATAAAAAAACAAACATGAAAAGACCAATTACTCGGCCG